TTCACATTTGAATATAAATCGAATGATACAGATTTCGAATAAGGATAAGGAGAGGATCCCCTCACATTTAATCCCCACAATTGCCAAGAGATGTTGGGTACAGGAGATGCCCCTCCATTTTCAACATACTGCGCAATGGAAAAGACTCTCCTAATCCCAACAGACTAATGAGCATTTATCAGAGACAACAGATGTGATGGGGAAATGATGTACATTGGCTCCACTAAACGTTAACTGGGGATCAGAATACGGGAGCATAAATCTGACATACAGCATAGTAGGAGTACCACCACACACTCCACTTATGCGACAGACCTGGATATTACGACAGACTTCTCCAGAGCCAGAATTATCCTTACCACCCCACACTTGGAACACCTCAAATTGTTAGAGGCCATCAAAATTTTTAAGGTTTGCAGCAGAACCACGTGCATTAATTTTAGCGAGATGTTTCTGTTGATGGCATGGCAGACTATACTTGACAACAACATTTAATTTTCAATCGTATTTAGAGGCAATTTATGTGCTAAGGGTCCAAAACATGCCTCATACCATTTAAAATCACTTTGTGTGCCACAGGTTTCTGGCTTATGCCCTGAATAAATGCCGTTCTAATCGTAAACTTTGCTGTTATCAACTTTGTCAACTAACACTAGTGCAGTTGTGTTAAACAATAAATTTGAAATCCATTTTACATCTTTGTTGTAGAAGTTCTATTAAGAATATTAGAAATAATTAGATATTGTATAATATATAATTAAAGAGTGGCCTGTATTTTTATTTTATATTGATATGTTCTCTGACTAAACTACTAATTACATTATTATTAACAAATATTGTAATAGATACTACATGGTAAAGTTCATGGTGAGAAAAAATTCCATTGTTTTGAATTTGATTATCTATTTGGATAAATTGATTTATGTAATAATTATATATAGGTAGATTTGATTATCTTTGTCAGCTTTATTTGTTATCTTGTTTCGATCATTTTCAATTTTATTTTAAATAGATATTTTTAATTAAATAATCACAAAAACTAAACAGCAATTATCAGATAAAGCCATTGTGCAGTAGCTGCTTTTTATCATCATTGACAATTTATAACAGTTAACAAATCTTTTTTTATAGTTTTAATTGTTCAAATTCTCATAAACCATTCATAGACTGTAAGTTTGGGAAGAGTGAAAATTGTTAATAATAATTTAATATTCTAGTGAATTTGTTTTAGTATGTTTTAATTTTTTTCTAATTGTTGTATATAATAATGAAAATAATTTATTTTCAGATACAAAAAAAAAAGAAATAAGAACATACTTGGCACACATAAGAAGTACATTTAATTCATTAACTTAAGAAGTCCAATATATCTTAGAAGACACCCCGAAGGTAACATAGACACAAAAGGTACACAGATGATAAGCTAATTTTAATATTGTATCAACAAATAATAATAATTTGTGAATAATAATTATAATTATCTTACTTCTTTTATAGATGATGGCAAACAATTTTTCTATTCATTCAGTACTCGTGCATTTTGAAAAATTATTTCAAGATACTGTGCATCACTGTAGAAAGTATTGATGTATAACAAAATAACAAATTAATTCATTTAGAAATAAATAGTGATTTACTAAGCCAGAATTATGCTGTATTCCTTAATTATGTACAAACTTTCATCTTGTTTAGAGATGCCACAACAAATATCGCCATTAGCTTTTTGGATGTTTGGCCACTAGCCATGTTGTCAGTTATTTAAATTTTCTTAAAATTAAATTTCTCAAACATTGAGAAATTAATGTTTACTTGAGAAAGAATTCTTTAGAAAAAAACACTGTATCATCCATACCTCTTAAATCCTCAAATTCCTTTTTTAGAACAAATATCTAATGATTGACACTTTTCTTGGCCATTAGACATTTGTTATAGAAAGACATTTCAAGGTTAAACAGGTGATATTTGTTGGAGCAAAGTGTGTTAAATTACTGTTCCAAGATAATTTTAATATTAAAACACTACGCATTTTAAAATTCCATACATTTATATTGCATTTTATTAAATAAAGCAAAATATAAATTTTATGGTCTCAACAGAATCATTATGACAAGATTTAATATGTAATACTAATTTATTTGTCATATGGCCACTCTTTACTTAATGACCAGTTCTCCAGTTCTCCCCTTTTTTAACCTTAGTCAAGTTCCTGTAGCACAGTATTCACTACACAAAGCATTCGCAATATCCAAGACACATATTTCATTTATAAATTTGTACTCTTGTTTGTCTGATTTGAAGGATCCAAAGTCTAAAATATTAATCTGAATGTCATATTTTCATAAATTTGGGAAATCATTTTCATAATTTTTGATAATTGTATTTTTATGTTTTGTAAGAGATGCAAATTAAAACAAAGTTGTCAAGTTAGTTTTCTTTAGACCTTTTCTTTATCCAGAAAATAAAGATGATTAAGCTCCTTGTATAACAATCTAGTCATAGGAATGGTACTCTGTCATTAATTGAAGAGTGGCTATGTTATAATTACAAAACAATCCATTTTTTTTTAAGATGAAATTTATATCCTGTCTCATTTAATTGTAAATATGGATGGCAATGTTATTGGCATATTTTAATACTTATAAATATATTTCTGACATGTTTATTAAAGACAAAATTATGATGTCTAGAAGTAATTTAATGCTGATATGTTTGATTTATCTTATGTAAAGAATGCTATGGCAAGTTTATTATTGTATTATGTTCTTTATATCCAAAATTTTACATTTAAAACATTTGCAAGTTTCCCTATATTTAATTATGCCAGAGTCAGATATTTGAAACACTTAAGGTGTCGGCCTATCACTCTTGGGGATCCAATATCCAATCTGGATGGTTGAAAATCCCAGGAGACTTTTATTGTATGTATGTCCCTTTCTAACTGAAAGAACCAATTATTAAAAATGCCCATTTTAGTGTCCATGGAGCAGAGTCCAAAAAAAAAGTCAAAAAGTTGACAATAAAATGTTACAAACAACAATTAACACCTCAATATAACTTCCAGCAGTCAAAAGATTTTAATAATCTAACGTTTTCGGCCGTCTTTTAGAGGCCCTCCTCATGATGAAACATTAAAAAACGGTTCTATCTTTTGAAGGATTCTAATAATCAAATACAGCTGTGTTCCGAACTTTTAAATATTTAAACGATGCATACGATATAAAAATCGTTACGCTTACAACACAAAAAAAAATTATTATTTTAAAATAACGCTATACATAAATTATTATTGTAGAGTTGTGAAAATTAGCGCGATGTAAACAATTTGTTTTACAATACTGCTGCTATACATCAATTATTATTATATAGTTGTGAAAATTAGCGTGATGTAAACGCTTTGTTTTCTTATACAAAGCAGAAAGATTAAAAATAATTACACTTCCGATTATTGTTGTGCTTTGTGGCAATGTAAATAATATTTCCACGATTGTGGAATCGGAATATAATCAGAGTTGATGCAGTTTCCCTTCATGGTTTCTATATAAATCTCAATAGCCTCCAATGAGTGTAAGTTGTGTCGGTCGAAGGCCCTATGTAAAAAAGTAGCCTCATCCCAACATGGGGAAACCCCGGGTTCGGTAGCATACTGTGCTAGAGCAGTACTATACTTCTGCTTCAACACATCATATTTGTGGTCCCGTACTCTAGCCTCCAGGGATCTGTATGTGGATCCAATGTATATCGTTCCAGTTTACGTGTGTTAATTTTTTGTCTAATAAAATGTTAAATTAAAATGATAAATATCGGCCATCCTTAAGCAATCCTATCTTCAGATTACATTAATTAACTACAGAGAACTATTGTCATATATACTCCTAAAGTGTTTGTGTGTAGTATGGTTGTCTCTACAATTACTCAGGATAAATGTACACACTTGTGCTTACCTTACTGCTGTTTCCACGTGATTAGGATTTTTAGAGTTTCCTTTATGTGGAATCTTCAGAGAGATGACAAATGTAAAACAACTTCAAATAGTATAAATTATCAAAGTATTCTGTTTTCTAGTGTAGTACATTGGAGGATGGATTACTTTCATAATTTACAAATAGAATCTTATATTGAAAACAAACAGAATTATGTTTGTTTATCATGAATATTCATGACAAACAAATGTATTTCTGTCAATGTAAAAGTATGTTCAGTAACCTCAGATTATGTTGCAATATATGTATAAACTATTAATCTTATTATATATGATACAATAAAACTTGAAGTACATCTTTGTGACATTTTTGTAGGTGGCTCATCATAAACTTAGTAGCAAAGCTTGATTTACATGTTAGTCTATGGGAATCAGGGTTTGAATCTGGTAGACTTCTGTCATTAGTTGTGTCCAGTATGGTTTTGGGGCATTGTTTCCATCTCAGAATCTGCCATAAAACATTAATTTTGGATGATTGTACGGCCATGCTATGCCAATATCTTGCATATACAAACAATCGATCCATATTATCATGGCTGGTTTCATGATATTGTGATCTGTGCTTTCGTATGGTGTCTTGACTACTGCTTGATCCTTGATTACTTGAAAAAGATTTGCATTTATATTTCTTATAAAAGACAGCCAGTTATCATATTTGGGGGGAGTTCAAAATAAATGAGTAGTTTATTCTACTATTGTTTTTTACAGACATTTGTTTTGTGCTATTATTCCAGATGGACACACCATGAATAAATAGCAGTATGTTATCTTACATCCCTTCACAAGCAATTATATTAAAGATAGCAACATGAAATTTCATATAAACTTTAATTTTTCAGATCAAATTCTTATCTATGATTGATGATTTGTGTTTTAAACTGCTCATTTTTCTTACGCAACAAAACTGAAAATTGGTTTTGCTTTAATATTTCAGGATAAAAATTATTTATTTTACAAAAGAAAATTTTATAATTTATTTAAAAAATAAATATTTTAATTAAAAGTATTTGTTTAATTTCAGATCTATCACGCGATCATATTATCGAAATTCGGTTGGAGCCTTGCTCGTTTATGATATTACACGGCGTTCTAGTTTCGAACATTTAGTGGACTGGCTATTTGAGGCGCGTCATCATATTGAACCACAGAAAGCAGTGTTCCAGGTAAGTTTTTAATTCTATGATATTTTTCCGCATACAAAAAATACAAAAACAAATGACTTGTTTACAATTATCTAAACCCACCTTTTTCTATATAAGGGCCACATTTAAAACTTTTGAACTGACACAGGGTGCACATCAGAAAAAAAGAAAAAAATGTGGGTAAAGCACAATTATTTATTCATGTATGATTATAAATTAACATTAGTATACTTGATTTGACTTCTAGAAGTGATGTGAATGTAATATATCTGGAATATTTGGTTGATTAGTTTTGCTAGTTTTACATTAGTTTTTAATGTGCGTCTGTTAGTCGATATTTTGTTTTAACTTTATACTAAATTTATTGCAGAAAAAACTGTTCACATACATAAGTTGTAGAAAATAATGATAGAATTTAATTAAGGTGGGAAATTGATATATTTTTTAAAAATATTTTGTGCGGCCCGCGGGTTGCCCACTCCTGATCTAAACTTTGACAATTTTCTTGTCTAATAAAACAATCTTCATGTTCTTCCGAAAACATTTTTACTTGATTTATTTTCATTAATTCATCAGATAAACATTTGCATTAAAGAAATATTAGAACAGTTAAAAACAAAAACAAATAAAAATTGCATAGTGCTTCACACAATTCCATCATGAATAAATTAATAAAGAACAAAAGCTATTTATTTTTTTTATTAGTTTTATTTTCTACTTCTAAAAATATAAGCAAATTTTTGTTTCTTTCTAATTTAAAAATTGCATAAGAAAAATTAATTTAAACTAGCTTTTTAATAGAAGTTTGAATAAATAAGTTAGTGAAAAAACTTATAACAGCTTCAGAGTCACCTTTCCTTGTGATACATAGATTCTAATCTTGAATTATGGGTGTGGATAATTTTCCTTCAGTCATACTAACATTATGAAAAGTTATCATCAGTGTTTTGCTGATCACAAATTTCTGATTTCTGTGTGAGGAATTTTTGAAGTCCTGTTTTCAGCTGCTATCCTGGACTGGAGCTCTTTATAATATTACTAAATGCATAAATTTGCTAAAGTTAAAAAAAAATTTTTAAATTGCATTTCAATATATAAAATGTGCACTGAAGCAAAATGACAACATATCACACATATTAAAGTCACAAATAATTTTTTTTAGTTTAATTTTTATTAATAGGAACAATACACTTTGATTGTTGACATCACACAGAATTTACAAAATTATCTACAACAATAAGTCTTTTCAAGAATTTCATTACAGCCTTATTTGAAATTTAAAATATTTCTATTTAAATTTAGGAGCATTAATTAATTAATTAAAAATTAGTTAAGAAAGTATATTTAACAATCAAATTAATATAGTGATAAAATTAACTCTTAAAAATTCTGCATAAATACAGATAACATAATATAAAGATGCAGTTTAATTATTTGTAGTTCAAGCTTTAAATCCCGAATATAAATCAGTATGTAAATAAATTTATAAAATTAGTAAAGTATTGTATTCATGAGTATTCTTTATGAGATAGACAATTATTTGTAGTGGTGATTCTTATTGTGAAATGTATTGTAGACAAGCAGATTTTCAAAACTTTACCAGGGACCAGTAAAAATATAGATTCAATCAAATAATAGCAACCTTTCTATCAATAGTTCAGGAAATGTTAATTGTCTACACACAAAATGTTTTCAACCTTAATTAAAGTCATCACCTATCTCCAAACAACTCATTTTAAAACATAATTTAAATTTACAACCATGACAGGATAATTTAAAATACAGTAGAGCATCGTTTATTCGAAAGAATTCCAGTCGGCAAATTTAAATTTTTGCCAGTACTGTGGCACTGCAATCTTTGGCTATGTCTTGGGCTACTCAAATATTTTACGTTTTTGATACTAAATTAACTTCTGAAGTATAATTTTTTATTGTTTTTATATTTTTCAATATATTTATTTTGTTTGTACAAAATAAAAAAATAATTTTTAATGATACAATAGTCTTCATTAGGCTTAACATCGACAAAAATTCAATGCAAAGCAACATGCAACAGAGAAAAATTTCAACATGGGATAGGTTAATATATTTTTTCATACATAATCGGTTATCCGAAATATCAATTTTCCGAACAACCCCAGTCCCCAATTGATTCGGATAAACGATGCTCTACTGTACAACCATTGTCATCAGAATAGAATTTAAAAATTGTAAACGCATTTTTCTGTATTCAATCTGTTATTATCTAAGAACTTTTATAGCTTGATTCAGAAAATCTGTGCTGTCAACTAATATATTCCATGGTTGTGATGTAACACATGGATCTGTTTTATTTATAACTCTTCTACATTTGCTAAAAATTAGAATATAATCTTGTTCTAGGAATCCAACTGGGATTTCTTTACTCTCCTCTCTTAATGACCTAGTGTTAATCCAATTTACATTAACATTAGCTGTAATTGCCCCTTGTGTGAGCATAGTGGAAGGCATATATTATTTCTGAATGCTCCAAGGTACTGTTTAATTCTTATGTGTATATATCTAAATGTAGAACATATGTATAGGCTGCCTTTGTACCCTCTTTTAGACTTACAAAATGTACTCCTGACTTGCTTATTTCTTCTAATTATATCCGTAAATGTAGGATCTCTTCTGCTAACAATGCAGTATTGCAAACTTTTCATTACTGATTTAAGAATATTGGATGAAGCTTACATTTTTAATGATAATGTTTTTCTCTGCATTAGTTGTTTTCCTGTTAGATCCTATAGAACAAACAAGAAGTATAGTATTTACTTCTAGACTCAGAAGCTCTGCTGCTCATTTCAATTCAAGTAGACCTGAAATAACCAAATTTTTAATACAGTTTTAATTTAAATGCTTGTCATTACAACATTTTGTCCAGATAACACAGAACATATCTTCTAATAATTAACAAAATAAAAATAAATAAAATTTAAATGATTGCATACTCTCGTAATAGTGAAAGTGTTTATCCTCAAATAAAGTAACAGCTTCTTTATGCCTTAAAACATTTTTCTTGGATGTTTTAAACAATTATATTTTTACTTCCAAAGAATTTAGTTAATAAAATGCAGCATTTAAAATTACACATACAATTTCAATATTTTTGTTACAAATGTGACAAAAGTTTTCAGAATTATGTGTATAATTTTTTTTAGTTTTGAGAAAGAATTACTTTCTCTAATTATCTTTAAAATGTAATTAAAAATTAAATTCGACTAAATGCACTTAAGTAGAAAATAAACTAATTAGATTTTTTTAAAAAACAAAAACTATCTCTGCAAAGATCTGTAAGAATATTTCCATTTTTAAAGTTTTAAATATATTTTTTAAAGAATTATAGTGTAGAAATGTAAGAGCTGTAATAATGGGGAAGTTAAAACGTCAGTTAATTAAAATTCCACCCTGTGACAGTCTAGAAAAAAATCAACCGTTGGAAGTGGATATCCATTATTACACTTTGGAATTTTAATTAATTTTTATTGAAATGATTTTTATTTAATTAAAAAATTCCCTGCAATATATAATAAATTACAATTTATCGTTTGTTCATAAAAAATGTTGAACAGTAATACTTTTATAACGCCATTAAATGCTAGTTAACATTTAATTTTGAATTGTAAAGAATATAGTGCCTCTTTATTATTAATATTCAAATATGCCTAATTAATTAAACGTGCAAATTGATTTATTAAGTAAACTTTTATGTAGTCCAATCAATTTGTTAGTAATTAATCCGGTTAACCATTGCAGCAAGTCAATTATTTAATTTAGTAATAATAAAATTTCTGTTTCTGCACATACATACACTTACTTCTGATTTTTCACTTAAAATATTAGCTATGTCAAATCAAATTTCTACATTTTGTTCCAAACTAAGAATTTTATGCAGAACATCAGTCAAGTTTTCATGTTTCTCATTTGCATATTTACACGAAACTTTCTAAATTTCTCAGTAATCTTTTAATATTCTCTAATTCTATTATGATGCAAATTTGAATTTACAAACACCAACTCTGACAAGTTGTTTCCTAGCTGTTCCTGCAGAGAAACGCTTTGATAATATGTATAAATTCTATTCAAATTGGAACAAGTATTTAATTATCTCATTTACAAATTTATTAATATTGGTATGCACCACCTAACAATGTTCCACTTGTTAGGTGGTATTTTTTTTACATTTAGATACATAAATACTTATCGTTGTTACATATAGCGTACATGAGTAGTAGACTCTGCCGTATCTGTTTGTTTAATATAAGGTCAGTTATTTCTCAGAACATGTCTGCATCATTAATCACTTCACATAAAAGAACAAAAGTAATTTTTTTTTTTATCCTTCTCTATCATTTGTCTATTCATTAACTGTCTTTTATTATTAATTTATATTAAGACATCCTTTTATTAGCCATAACAAAAGAAAATTCTGTGTAGTATGTAGATGATGCAGAACTTCAATTTGTTATTCTGGATTATTTTAGCTGTGTCCCATAGATGTAAATGCTTTAATAGATTCCAGTAGGAAATTATTTGCTTTGTAATTGTGGACTGGCATTGTTTGTACAAGTTTTTGGAAGATGGATGCTCTTACTCTTTCCCGGTGATGAATTATTTGCTTGATTTAGTCCTTCACACTATTATATTGCTGCTCATTTGCCTGTATGGCTGTAGTCAGAATCCCCCATAGATTTTCCATTAATGAGGATAAGATAAAGAGATAGAGCTGGCTGATTGATAATAGACACCCCATTGGCTACAAAACCATTTGTACGTAGATCTTGCTATGTAAATGGGAGCATTGTCTTGTTGAAAGAACCACTGATTCCTGAAAAATACACTCAGCAAAGAGCAAGAGATTGCTTGTCAATGTGTTTTGATAATCTTTTGCTTTCGTATGCCCTCGTAAAAAGGTGTGTGGAGTCTTTCCTTGGCAACTAATACCACTCCACACAGTAACCAAGCCACTACCTCGTAATCATTTCAAATATAGTCCTCTT